AAGTGTAACACCAACAAATTATTAAAATCAAATATTAATATTGTTACTTCATTCTTTTTGTTTTTACAATATGACAATGTTTAATTATTTTATTTTAGTAGTAATGGGCCTCCCCTGATAATTATTGCTACAGCCACTGATGGAACATATGTTTTTTTTTTTTTTGAGAACGCAAATCGAACATAGTCTAATGTTATCACATCTTCCAAATAATAAAATATGACTAGTGATGCTTCACTAGTATTTGCTGACATGGTTTGGCTGGTAGCTTGTATGAGTAATATGATAACTAATACTCTCTCCATTTCATATTAAGTTAATTTTTGAGGCATTTTTCATTTTTCAAATTAACTTAATTGTTCAGTTTTCAATACTACTTTTAGAGTGTTCTTCCAATTTTACCCTTCATTAGTTAGTATTGGAATTAGTGATTAATTAATATTTAGTTATTTTAATCATAAATTTGACAATAATTAATAAGGGTAATATTGGAAAAGTAGGTTCAATTTATGTCTTAATCTACTTTTCTTAAAAGGTGTGAAACACCTCAAAAATTAACTTAATATGGAATGGAGGGAGTATTGGTAACAAACAAATATTAGAATCTTTCATCATTCATTGCTTTGGTTCGATAAAGGGTCATAATTCAACCCGTCCAGTTTTTACTAAGTTTTAATAGCTATATTTGTTATTTTATAAGTTTTTAGTACCTAATAAAAATATTTCTTTATTATAACTATATATAACATATAAAATAAAATAATTTTTTTTTAAAAGTATTTTGACAAGATTTATCAAAAATCATTTTGGGTTACATATCAATCTAATTTTTAATGAGTTGAAATAGGTTGAGTTGAAATGAATGGAGCTAACAAATGGTCAGGTCAATAACCAATCCAAACCTAAATGGGTTGGATCGGGTTGGATTTGATTTTGTCACCTTTGTGTATAAGGCAATAACATATATTTTAGGGAATTATCTCAAGATAAAAGGATGTGCTTATGGGAGAATAAAAGTTTCACATTAGAACTTCGAAAAAAATAAATAAAAAGAAGCTACGTGTGAATATTTTTAATGCTATGAAATTTTTTTGAGAAAAAAAATTGTGCGATTTTAGTTCTAGACAAGTAATATTGTTTTATGTTAGAGTAATTTTAGGTTGACGTTCAACAACTAGTTAGAGTCTGTAATTTAACGGGATGAAGATAAACATGAAGATGACGAAATAATATGTAGGGCTTAGTGTCCTACCTTTACCCCACCAAAAGAAACAAGTTTTTGAGCTTTGGTTATCATAAATACTCTTATATAGTGCAGTAATTTCCTGTCCTAGATGGGATATTTGGTTATCACGAATACATTTGATTTGTATCAACAAATACAATTATATTAAGTGTATAAATAAATACAATTTGTATTAACGAATACATTTATATCAAATGGTATATCAACGAATACAATATGTATCGCCAAATATCAGGTGTATATGTTCCTTGTGTATTCACTAAGTATCAACTATATTAACGAATACAATTGTATAAGCAAATATAATTATATCAAGTGTATATGTTTCTTGTGTATTCGCTCTATATTAATGTATGTGAGTGTATTTGCAATTGGCTAAAGATTTGTATTCAATGTATTTAACTGTAATTTGTCCTTGTTATACATCTATATCATATTTTGTATACTCTTTTAGAATACAATTGATATAATATTGTATTTCTCCCTCGTTCAGACATATTGAGAGACTGACTATGAAATAAAAGAGGAGAAGACAAATAAGGGAGGTCTCCACCATCTCTTGCCTAATACAAATCTCTCAACTATAAATGATACAAAATACAGTTGCCAAAATACAATTGATACAACTTCTTTTGCAATCTGAAACTTGTATTGGACTGGAGATACAAAGAGAAGGAGAGGGGAGAGTCGAGGAAGATAGAAATTTTCTATAAAATTCTAAATATAGCTATAAATTGTAATTCTTTTAAACTATAGTTGTGTATAGTAAATAGATATCACATGTTTGCCTTACTATGTAATTTCAAAAATGACTTTAGTTTGGTCATAACTATAAATCTATAGTTATAGCTTGCTTAGTTACGATTCATACTTACATATTATAAGGAGCAAAGAGGTGAACGATATTGGGAGAGGGAGGAGAGACACATGCGATATTTGGGAGAGAGATAGCATGAATACGTATTATATCGTTGTATGAGGTTATGCCACGAATACAATTGATTTGTATTACAAATATAATTGTATCAAGTGTATTAACGAATACAATTGTACAGGTTGTATCAACGAATAAAATTTGTAGCACTGTCAAGTGTATATGTTCCTTGTGTAGTATCAACAAATATAATTATCAAGTATATTTGTTCCTTATGTATTCACTATATATTAAAGTATTTGAGTGTATACTGGCAATAGATTTTGTGTCAATGTATTCAACTGTATCTTATCCTAGTTATACATTTGTATCATGTTTTGTATACTCTTTAATACAATATTATATTTCTCCCTCGTTCAGGCGTACAAAGAGTCCAAGTATGAAAAGGAAGAACATAGATCTCCACCATCTCTTGCTTGATACAAATCTCCCACTTATATTTGATATAATACAAATATAAAATACAGTTGATAGAAACTATAGTTGTATATGGTAAATACATGTCACATCTCCTACTATGTTGCAACACTCATCCAGACACAGTTAAAAGTACCCTATCCTGTCTATAAAAGCATGACTAAGATTATACATGATTGATATAAATAGAAATAATGTTACATGAAGATATATATAGTTTAAGATTTAAGGAGGTAAAGTCCAAAACTCTATGATTGATCAATTTGATACTCTCATCAAGATAAAGGAATAGAGTTCTGCAGTAACAATTCCAATGATGATTACAGTAACAACTTGCATTAGAGAACAAGAAATTGAGATATTATTTAATTCTTGAAACTTTTCTATAAAGATTAACATTGTAAAAGTTGTATTCACATAACTAAATCTCATTGAAATGGAGCTTCCATTCTCCCAATTCTCTATATTTCTTAGCTTTCTACTCTTTCTAGTCATAGCTATTAAGCTTATGAGAGAATCCAAGAGAGGAAAAGGGCCAAATTTACCCCCCGGTCCACGAAAACTTCCTCTTATCGGGAACTTGCATCAGTTAATGGGATCACTCCCTCATCATACTTTGAGAGACATGGCTAATGAATACGGACCGATTATGCACTTAAGATTTGGTGAAGTTCCTACTGTTATTGTATCCTCGGCTGAAGCAGCGAAAGAAGTTATGAAAACACATGATCTTGTTTTTGCAGATAGGCCGAAAATTCTTGTTGCAGATATAATTGGATACAATAGCACTCAGATTACATTCTCTCCTTATGGTGATCATTGGAGACAACTTAGAAAAATATGTGTTGCAGAGCTACTTAATGTCAAACGCGTACAGTCATTTGAGTCGTTAAGACAAGAGGAAGTGAAGGATCTCATCAAGACGATTTCCTTGAATCCTGCTGGTACTACCATAAATCTAAGTCAAATGATATTTACTTTGACAAACAACATAATTGCCAGAGCAGCATTTGGTAGGAAACTCGAGAATCAAGATGAATTTATCGCTACCTTGAGGAAAATAGTTGATCTGGCAGGTGGATTTGACTTGCCAGACACATTCCCTTCACTCAAATTTCTCCATCCTCTAACTGGTGCAAAGGCTGCAATGGAGAAAATACATCACCAAATCGACAAGATTTTAGAAAGCGTTCTCCAAGAGCATAAAGCTGCAAGGAAACTAACAATCAATCGTGAGAACAACATGCACAAGGAAGATCTTGTAGATGTACTATTGAGAGTTCAAGAAAGTGGTGACCTTGAAGTTCCTATCACAACTGACACAATCAAAGCTGTCATTTTGGTATGTTTTTACAGAATCTCACTTTTACTTTAATGTTTTAGAAAGCTTTCGACTTGAGTTTAATTTCTATATACAGATAGTGTAAAAGAACTATTTACGCGATCAACTCATCTGAGATATAATTTTAATTGCATTCTCAGGAAACATTTATTGCGGGGACTGACACATCATCGACAGCCTTAGAGTGGGCAATGGCAGAACTGATGAAGAATCCACAGGTAATGGAGCAGGCGCAGGCCGAAGTGAGACAAGCATTCAAAGGAAAAAGGATGATCACAGAGTCTGAAGTGCAGCAACTGGACTACTTGAGATTGGTTATCAAAGAAACATTGAGATTGCACGCGCCCGTGCCTTTGTTAGTACCAAGAGTAGCTAGACAAAGATGTGAACTTGGCGGATACGAGATACAGGCCAATACAAGGTTAATGGTTAATGCATGGGCAATATGCAGAGATCCAAAATACTGGGAAAATGCTGAATGCTTTGAACCAGAAAGACATCGGAATTCGACACTCGATTTCAAAGGGAATAACTTTGAGTTCATACCATTTGGTGCTGGAAGGAGAGCATGTCCTGGAATTTTGTTTGGAATTTCAAATCTTGAACTTCCACTTGCTCAGCTTTTGCTGCATTTTGATTGGAAACTACCAAATGGAATTGAACCAAACAACCTTGACATGACAGAGGCTTTTGGTGAAACAGTAAGGAAGAAAAACAACTTGCATGTAATTGGAATTCCTTATGTGAATACGAGTGATTATTAGAACGTAAATAAACAATTTGAGTCATTTTCTAGGAAAAGAAGGAACCACTATAATAACTAGTACGTGCATTTTATTTATTTCGATCTTCTATTTGTAATATAAGTACTTTATGATCCTTCTTTGGACTCAGGGGCTTATCTCATTTGGGAAATTTTATTAATAAAGGGGTGATCACAACCTACTGTTTCTCCCTAATGTTCTTTGCCAAATACCTCTAGTTTCTCTACAGAAACTTCATGAAAGGCCTACTTCAACTAATATTTCCAATCTTGCTATGTGGTTAGCAAAACTATCAGATTAAACAAGCTCTGGTACCAGTTAACATTTACAACATTAATAACAAGCTTAAATGAGAGCTATTCTAAATATTCACATTCACCTTTAGAAGAAAAAGCATTCAGAAAATGAAGTAAAAAAGAGTTCCAGATGTTGGATTAAGCTGTAGTCCAACAAACTGCATGATTGGAAGAGGAAAACCAGTTAGCCACCAGACTTTTGATGTTTCTCCAAAGAGCTAGGGGGCAGTTTCTCGGCCTCGTGTTCTTGAACACCCTTCTTTGGTCCAAAGATAGACTCTTTGAGAGAATGCTCTGCTGACAGTATTGCATTTTTAATCTGATATTTTAAAAGCAGAAACAACGCCATCAGGAAGTGCTTATTGTAAAGCTAACTAATATGCATTGAATGAAGAAAATTCTTGAAAGGTTACTTGATACTAACACTCTGACAGAAAAAAGAGAGCACTTCACTCTTACTACAGGAAATGACAATTTCTAATACATGAGGCTAGTATTATAAATTTCCAGATTCATGTGTCCCAAGGAATGAGCGACAGGAGCTGATGAAGATCGATCAAACTGAGAGCTCATTGACGCCATTACCATGAAGAAGAGCTGTTTTATAGTGTTCCTCCACCAAATACTTGAACACCAATTTAAGCATGCTGGCCATTCTTGGTCCTATGCTTTCGATGTCCCAGGCGCCATCACTTTAACAGAGTGCCATCAAGCACGCCACGTGGAAAAAAATTTGCCACGTGGCCAGTCCACATCAGCATCCACCATGGAAAATCATCCAATTTAATACCCATCAGCCCCCCCTGTTTAAAACCTGCCCCGCGTGAATCCCCAATTTTCTTGGATTTCACTCTGTGCGTTGAGTGTATTGAGGTTGTGTGTGGTTTTAGGTGAGAAAATTGTGTATGTGAGGAGTGTTCATGGAAGTTGCTAGGATGTGTAAATTTGGTGGAACTTGTATTCTTAAGTGTATGGAGAAAATTGGAACGAAGGGTGAGTGTATTTTGGTGTTGGAAAAATAAATGGAAAGGCTGATCTTGTTGTTGATCACTGGAAAAGGAAAATGGGTGGAGGTCTATGAGTTTGTTGTTGTTGCCCGGGTTGTTCTTGTTATGTTCTTGTGGAATTGTAAAATGGACTATGGTTCTTGTTGGTGTTTTACCCGTGAAATTCTCTCCCCAAAAATCAAGAGTGCCCCCTGTATTTTTTGTATTGTGTGCCTTTGGTGTTGTTGTATTCCCTCTGTTAGGACTGGTAGAACAGGGGGTCTGGTCTTAGTTTTACCTTTGACAAAAGGTTGGTGCGGGTGTTAAACTGGGCGAGCTGATGGGTATTAAATTGGGTGATTTTCCATGGTGGATGTTGATGTGGACTGGCCACGTGGCATTTTTTCCACGTGGCGTGCTTGGTGGCACTCCGTTAAACTGAGGGGTATTTGTGAGCCAAAAAAAACAATCGGAGGGGTAGTTTTCAGCCAATAAACAAACAGAGGGTATTTTTGCTCCATTTCGGATAGTTCAGGGGTAGTCTTGGCCCTTCTCCATTTTTCTAAAAAAGTACTAGAAATTTCCCAAAGTAGCAGCAACTCAAAGTGATGCACAACATCCATTGCTTTTTCTTTTGCTTTTGAATGAGGTTCAAATGGTCTTTTTCGATGTCTTATTAGGATGTACAAAAGGCTTCCTCGAAACCTAACAAACCAATCAACCACATTACAACTAAGGGGATCTCCCTGATGTCTAACAATGACTTCACTAGGGTAGGGAACAAGATTCCACACTGTATTAATTACCCAAAACTGTAAAGCATGGGAGTTGGGACTATTGGAAAGGATACAGATAGTCCAACAGGGTATGTTAAACATAACCAACACTTTCGTATGGAATGAGCTATATAATTAAGAAGTCTGTTAAAAAACTCAAAGACTCTTCTATTCTACAATTTAAATAGCCAAGTAGTTCAAGCAAAAAACAAAATATGAAATTTTTTGTGGGTTCTATAAGAACCAATAAGGAAAATCTCAAACCTTGGAAATGAGTGTCGAGAACAACATAAAGTTGAGATATTATGCAGACTACATCATGTTTAGTCAACTATAATCCCCCAGGAGTTTTATAGCTCCAATGGTCAAACACAAAGTTTGGCAGCAAGTCTGCCACAAACATTACTTCTGCGCATGTGAAGAGAGGCTACGCTAGTTTCTTACAAATAAGACACAAAGGGAAAGAAATTAGTTGGCCTTAAGTATTTACTAATTCGTCCAAACATACAATTTCCACAGGGCATGTTAGTACACCAAGAGCTACTACCCAGCACGGACTAAAAATCACTTTATACGAAACAGACTTCCAACTGTAAAGCTCCACTTCTCCCAACAGGGTTTCATGCATCTTTGCATAACCCGAGTAGTGGATACAAGTGCGAAGGTGCATATGGTTGTTGGAGATTGATAGGGGACAACTCCATCGAAACAAAAATGAAGGTTCAGATAATATAGAATGAGAAAGGACGGAGTAATAAGGCTTTTCTTTTAAAAGATTTTGAGCAATTGCTGGTTCAGTTCTTTAAAAAGTATAATTCAATTTTCTGAACTAGAAAATCCATTAAAACACCTAGAATATCTTTGTTTGGTTAAAGTAAGTCGTAAGATGCATATAGTACTGTCTTTTCTCAAGTGCAATTGTCAAGCTTTTGATGCATTTCTCAGGCAACTTATAGTGACCTCGGGTAAAATAGCCCTTCCAGGTTACGTGGGCAAGTCCTCTTACATCCTAAGATCATATTTGTTTAAGAAGCCCCTTTTCCCTGACTTGTAGTACTAATTAGTTGGAATAAAGTTTTAGTCATGGTAGTACGTTTACCATTAGGTCTTTATGCTTTCTAGGAGTTCTTTAGCCGTGTTAGAGATTTACCTGCTAGTAAAAAATATAGATAACTTGCAGTACCTTTTATTTTCTATAATATAGGACTGATATAAGCTTAAATGGAACGACATGACCAGTGAGAATTCATATATCCACCCTGACTTGCTTAGGATTAAGGCGTAGTTGTTGTTGTGCTACTACAATATTCTAATTATCTATTTCCTACAGTATGTTCCAGGGTAAACCAACCTATTTGCTCACTCCACTACAATTTTCTGCTCTAACATGCTTTAAGAAGAAAAGGGAATATAGAGGGCAAGAGCAGGCTCACTCCACTACAATTTTCTACTCTAACATGCTTTAAGAGCCAAAGAAGAAAAGGGGATTTAGAGGGCAAGAGCAGGAAAAAAATTCTAAAGAACACCAAAACTGGCAAGGATCAAATGAGACCTGTAAGGCTAAATTCTTCACCAGCAGGAAACTAGGTGTACGCGGAGGCACCTTATTGGAAGACATGTGATTATTAACAGTTGATAATTCCAATTTCCACAGAATGTAATATTTTTTGGCATAATACATGAACAAACACTCAAACTTAGCCTCAAATAGCAAGTAAGCACTTCAACTTTGAAAGTGCACATTGAGACATCTCAACTTGGTCTTAAGTGACAGCTAAACACTCCAACTCGTCCCTACTATGTCTTGTTGACACCCGACGCTGAGGTAACACAAATTTTGGGGTGCCTGGATGATCATTTTATAAGTTGGACTGTTCAACTAACATAATGGAGACGAGTTGAGGTGTCTAGATGTGCAATTGTGCATACTCAAAGTTGGAGTGCTTACTTGCGAGGCCAAGTTTAAGTATCTATTTATGTATTATGCCTTTTTTATGTATCGAGCCCAATTGATAGGTTCGGTGGTCATACTTGTACCTACTTTCTTACCAGTACCATTAACACTATTCTCATAGTTTCTTGTTCTTCAATTTTGGTTATCACCAGTGTTTTTTGTGCTTCGGTTATCGCATTATTTGGTTGTCAGTATTGTTCTCTACTACTCTCCGATTCACTTTATTTCATTATTATTACTGTTTTCATTTCTGTATTCTCTTTTTCAAACTGCTTTGAAATGTTTTATTTAAGTGGACGTTCTATCAAAAATATCCTCTGTATCTATGCTAGGTAGAGATTAGGTTTGTGTAGTACAGTGTACACCATACCTCCCCAGATCCCACTGTAAGATTACACTGGGTATGTAGTTTTTGTTGCAGTATCAAGCCAAATAAATCCATTATTTGTTAAAAGTCTTTAAGTCCTAAACCTTACACACCAGCGTACCTAATTTTTTATATTCAAAAACCAAATATTACATTTCACAATCAACTTCTCAGACAGAAAATGACGAACATAAAACTAAAAACGTTAAATTGAAGATTAGAACATCAACAAGGCATTGAAGGACGCAATTAGAGATTTACCGGATCGAGAACACTTGGTTCAGTACCATAATCTGCAGTTAGAAGGAAATAAGAAGCAGTAACAGTAGCCACCATGGTTGTCCTTCTCACCAGTTTATCAATTCTGGGATCCATTCTTCTTCGCAGATTCTGAGTGAAACTATTGAGGGTAGAAAGAAGAAGAAGAAGAAGAAGAAGAAGAAAGTAATGGAAGCGATGGGAAGTGTTTAGAAAGTATTTGGGTACGACAGAATGGTCCCTTAAGATTTTTGAAATGTCTGAGGCCCCAAATGAATTACTTTTTACATTTTGCACTTAAAGAAGTTACTAATGTGGAAAGATCCCATATACTTTCTGAAATATTTCTTAGGTTCCAAGTAGATCTCATTTTAATATTATGCACCAATACTTTCTACTTGTTATCAAGCTTATTTAGTCTACCTCTGACTATCCTGAATATATATTCATAATCAACCTCTCACACCTTCACATTGACATTCTTGCATTTGTTCATCACATGCTTGAATCATCTCAACCCTGCTTTCCGCATTTGGTCGTTAACCGAAGTCACTCCCACTTTGTCTGAAATATTCTCATTTTTAATCGTATCTCTTTTAGTATACCCATACATCCATTACAATATTCTCATCTTCACCACTTTCATTTTCTGAATGTGAGAGTTCTTGACTGACCAACATTTTGTTCCATACAACATAGTTTGTCTAACCATCAGTTTGTAGAACTTGACTATAAGTTTAAGGGCACTTTTTTATCACACAAGACTCTGGATACGATCCTCCATTTCATCCATCATGCACCTATATATGGTGAGTAACATCCTCATCAGTCTTTCTATTTCCCTTGATAATAGACCCAAATTAGAGATGTCAAAAATGAGCTCAACTATAGGCCGGTAACCCGCCCAACCCGTTCAGAATTTTCAGGGTTGGACTCAAGATAATTTGAATTAGGTTCAATCTCAATCCATTCAAGCCTTAACCCACTTTAAGAGAATCGAGAATCCTCATTTGAGCCCAATTTAATCTCTAATTTCAATTTGTTTTAAGACTCTTTATTTGCATTGAAGTAATGTATGTTCCTATATTGAAGGTATGAATTAGTATCTATTTTATATCTTTTAGAATTTATCTATTAATTTGTAACTTTTTATTTTAAATTTTATTGAGTTGAAATTCAAATTGCATTTATAAAACTTAAATAACAATATATTAAAATTATTGAGATTAAGCAGGTCAAATTGGGCGGGTCAAGACCCAACCCATTTTTAAGCCCATTTGAGCCCAACCTATTTGAGCACAAAGCAAACTTGGGCGGATCAGAACCCAACCCAAATTCTATTTCAACTCAATCAGCTCATTTGACTCCCCTAACCCAGATACTTGAAACGACCCCTCTTTCGGATGACATGTGTATCAAACCTTACTTCCATGTTAGTCTCAAACATCATATCACTGAACTTGCACTTCAAGTATAGTATTAACTTCGTCACGAATTTTGTCAATCAAAACTATGTCATCCGCAAATAACATACACCATGGAACCTCACCTTGAATTTTTCGCGTTAGTACATCCATGATCAAGACAAATAGAAGTGATAACTCTATCAACACGAAAAGTGGTTTGAGTCTCCTCCCACTATCTTTAATCGAGTCTTGACTCCATCGTACATGTATTTAATCGATCTAGTGTACGCCACATGTATACCTTTAGCCTCCAAACACTTCCATAAAACCCCTTTGGGGACTTTGTCATAAACCAATTCTAGGTCAATGAATACCATATGTAATTCTCTCTTCCTTTCCCTATATTGCTCCACTAATTTCCTTACGAGATGAATGACCTAGGTAGTAGAGCGTCCTAGCATACATCCAAATTTCTCCATCATCTATACCACTCTCTCTCATACCTTCATATTGTGGCTTAGCAACTTGATATCCGTATAGTTGTTGCAATTTTGACGGTCACCCTTGTTCTTGTACAATGGAATCATCGTACTCCATCTATTATTCTTCAAGCAACTTTGCTGTCTTAAAAACAATATTAAACAACTCACTCAACCACTCTATGTATGCCCCACCTAAGCTTTTCCAAAAATCCATTGGAATTACGTCTTTCCTAGTCTCTATGACTCTACCCCTTTGCAACCTACAAATAGCACCTTTAACCTCCTCAACTTTTATATACCTACGGTAACAATCATTGTGACATCTCTCTAAGTGTTCCAAATCCCCCGTACAATATTGTTGCCCCCTCTTCGTTCAAAAGTTTATGCATACTTTACTCTCCCAACTTGCACATAATTTTTTTTTACTTGCCTTTTCGTTACAACCATCCTTTTACACTCTTTATCTACCATTTTTTTTTGTAGTGTAATCGACTTTTTGTATTATCGATATATAAAAGTTAAACTCAAAGAAATTTGCGCTATAAATAGAGGATGCATACACATAAGTTGAAATTGCTATTATCTAACATGATCAAATTTATAGAGTGCATATCTTCTTAACATGTTTACAAGCTCAAAATTAAAAGAAAGGTAAAGTGAAGAATAAAAAATCCAGGAAAGTAATTTGATTACAATAAGAGGGTTTATCTATTGATCACAAAAAGAAAAGGAAAAGCTTTATTTACTGATCAGCAACATACAAACAAATTTGGATTATTTTTAATTATAATAAAAATTCATCAATAATCCAATATCTTAGGGTTATTCTTGTGACTCTTCCTCATGAGGTTCCTTTTCTGGTTGCTCATCTGTTTTTGTAGCCTCATCTTCAACTACTTCATTAGCTGCTGCTTGATCAGCATTCTTCTTATTATTTGCAGCTTCAAGAACATGTTGATACGTGCCTTTCTCCATGAAAAGTTGTGCAAAATGATGTTTGCAATAGAGGATTCCATCAAGTGATGCATATGTTGCATGTGTAAGTGGACACCCTCCATGAGCACATTTGAAACATGACTTGTGGAATGATTCTCCCTCCATTGTCACCTATAACATAAATTTCAACATCCATCTTATCAATCACTATATATCCCCCCCCCCTCCCCCCCTCTTATAATTACCATTGTTGTTTGGTACGACGAAAGTCATTTTCTATCAGGAGGACATTTTCTAGTGTTTAGTTACCAAAACATATTTTCGAAGGAAAATAGTTTTCATCAAAATGGTGAAAATGACCTCCCTTAGTGAGTACATTAAATGCAAGCTTTATAATATGGGCTTAAAAGGACTCAATAACTTTTGTCCTATTCTTATGTATGTAGCTTAAAAATCAACTAACTATATATACAAAAATAAAATTCAAAATTAATCCAATTACTAATACTTGAGGTTACTATCCTAAAAATTCACAACCCATAAAATTCAAATTCTAAATCTATCACTGTCTTTGCCCTTATTTGTAGAAAGAATCATTTTTCCAACAATTATTTAACTTTTAACTTTATACTATCTATTCAAACTAACACTTAGACATTTTTATTAATCTTAATTACACAAAAGTTTCATAAAAACATTCTTCAATTTTTATTATCATCAACTTTTAATGTATATTTTTGACGGATAATATTCTTCACTCACCAACAAAACGACAAAAAAAACGTCTTTACAGAGAATTATTTCCATCATACCAAACACATGGTAACTAGTGAAGGGGCTTATTTTTTTTTTAAAAAAATAAAAAATAATGAATCTAACCTTTTCAAGAGGATAGACAGTTTTGGTGCAGGCTGCACATTTGTCTTGGGTTCCAGAAAACATGGCAGAGAGTTTGCTTGGAGTTCTTGCCTACACAAAATTTTACAGACTATTAGGATGGTTTAAGGAAACATAAAATATAATTTTTCAAATTTTCAAATTTCATTTTATAATAAAACTTGATGAAAATGTACTTAATTAATAGCATAACGTACCAATGCATTTTCCTTGTCAGGCTTAGGTGCTGAAATGTTAATTAAAAGGACAAAAATAATTAGTAAAAATGAATTTAAAAAATTAATTGGTATGTATTATGTAAATTATATGAAAAGAATGTCTCACAAGTCTGAAAGTTCTTGCTAAAGTTTCCACATTCCTTAAAAAGTTGTTCAAAATGTGTCTTGCAATAGAGGACTCCATCCATGGAGGAGTAGTTGCTCATCTACATCACATTATATTAAATGTCATATTATTATTCCATGATCATAATAGAAAAAAGAAGTACAAAAAAATTTGTTGATCATCTCATGATCTATTGAACAACAATTTAAATTCTCTAGCGAAAGCCTGAATAATCGAGGAGGATTGAGGTAGATTGACCCCCAATATAAAACTACTCATATGTGACATGCTTAAATGGAATGACATAGATAGTAAAGATTCATATAATTAATTCCGGCAATTACTTGTCTGAAATTGAGGCATGGAATTTGTTGTTGTTGATTTGATGTGAAGAGGAACGATATCTTGCTAACTTTTAGTGGTGTTTTGAGATAAAAAGGACAAACTTCTTTTAGTCAATTTCTTGAAAAGTAGGTGTGGCATGTTGCAACAACAACAATAACCACGCCTCAATTTCAAGTAAACTACTGCCTATTATAATGAATTCTCACTGTCCATGTCGTGATAATTACTTATTTTAAAAGAAAAGATAAAAAAGATTCACCAACCACAAGAGTTCCTTTGCAATGTGTGCATTTGAAGCAAGATTTATGATAAGTTATTCCATCAGCAGACAACAAATCAACAAAGTAAACAGTCTTATCACAAGCTTTGCATTTATCCAATGTTCCTGTGAATGACATTTTTTAATATTTTTTTTATTGTCTTCTTTGCTTTTGTTTGAAATTCAATCTCAATAACTTTTTTAAAACAGAGTTAGAAATGGCAGAGGGAAAAAAAAAAATTCAACAAGAAATGCTCTTCTGCCCAATTTTTTTGGTTATTGAGATTAAACAAACAACAAAGAAAAGCTTGTGTAATAGAGAAATTCATTAACTTTTCCAATGGGAAATAATTAGTTGAATTCTGCTATATCAACCGATAATTTTCGGACACGTGATTGGGAGATCAAAATATTAGGAGGTACAATTTACCTCTCATTCTCTTGAATTTGAGTGAAATTAGGACCTTCTTTGAACCTTTCCCTTTGTTACAACATTGTAATTTAATCCATTCTAGGTAGTTAAGTTAGTTCAAACTTGGTATTTTCGTTAAAAAATATAATTTAAAAAGAGGACTATACGTCATTTTTCTAACTAGTTATGAGCCCATTTGGCTTGACTGAAAAAAAAAATGAAGAATCGAAACTTGAGACTGGCTTTCAAAAGTTATCAATATGAAACCTTACTTTGACTTCTTGGCTCGTCCAACCTAGCAACATTCATGAGTTGCTAGTTCAACTGACCAGAAGAAGTTGAGAAGTAACAAGCGCGGTGTTTTCTTTCTATCACTCTCATCTAACAACATTGAGTAAAATTTGGGGTAATATATATCCTCTCATTTTTATGAAATCATATGAAGAATTTAAAATATATCCTCTACATAATAGTAGCGTTATATATGTGTGTGTAACCATAGATACTAATTAGATCAATTTGAATATATGATACACTAAAAATTAACAGAAACTAGAGGCAGTTGGCAAAGAACATTAGGGAGAAACAGTACATTATTAATAAAATTTCCCAAATGAGATATGCCCCTGAGTCCAACAAAGGATCATAAAGTAGTGATATTACAAAGAGAAGATCGAAATAAATAAAATGCACGTACTAGTTATTATAGTGGTTCCTTCTTTTCCTAGAAAACGACTCAAATTGTTTTTTACTGTTATTTGTAGTTTTGATGATTTGACAAACCCAGGGACCTTGTGAAGGGGTTTGATCCCTTGTGCACATTTACACACAACTGCCAGGATGGAAAAAGTACAATTGGTTGGTGCACAGTCTCCAACTCTGGTAGAAGTGGCAGAAATCTCGGCCAATGGCATGGCCTCGAAGGTTGTGACTATTCTTCATAAAGATTATGTCCAATAGTCATAACCTCAATTTTTGCAACTTGAAAACACTCAAGAACTCTTGCAAAGGTTGACACTCAAGTGAAGAATCATCCTCAAGAACAACATGGACCTGATAGAGCTGCAAGCTTAGGTGTCTTAGGATTATTTCTTTTGCATGTACATTGTAAATCTGTTCCTAATCTATAAAGGATTCAGATATTGTGTTCGGTTTCTAAAAGTCTAAATCAGTTAAGGTTAACAAATTTAGTGGGCAGCATTGTGTGCTGCTTAGTCAAAGTCTAAGTCATCCGGAGAGTGGTGGTTTAGTGGGCAACCTACGTGTTGCTTAGTTGAAGTCTAAGTTGTCTAGTGGTGATAGCTTAGTGGGCAGAATGACATCTGCTTAGGCTCTTCAAGTAATAGAGTTATTACTTGGTTGTGAGATTAATAACTTCTTCTCACGTTGGTTGTAACTGTGGTTCACTTTTGCTTAAGAAGATTAGTGAAGTTGAAAATCCTGTGTGACAGGTCGTGGTTTTACTCCCTTGAGCAAGGAGGTTTCCACGTAAACTGCTTGTGTCTTGTTTACTTCTGTATCTGTTCTTTATTACTGCTTGTACTGAGTCAAGGGACCTGGTCCATTGACTGACAGGTGGACGCACGCATTCTATCATTTACGTTCACTCGTATTCCCATAAGGAATTCCAATTACATGCAAGTTGGTTTTCTTCCTTACTGTTTCACGAAAAGCCTCTGCCATGTCAAGGTTGTTTGGTTCAATTCTGTTATAGAATGTATATAGACTTAAATCTAGTAATATACATAGCTATATTTAGGTAGCAGATTTATAGGAATCACTGCAGATTCATAGGAATCAATCTTAATTTCTTTCCTTAGTTAGCACCTAATGTATTGTATTTATTCACTGCTAAACTACTGCAATAAGACAAGAGATTTTCCATTAATTTACATGGTATCAGAGCCTATTGGCTCGTGTCGTTTTGGCTGTGTTATGGAAGAGTTTGGATTTCTAATCCACTGATTTAGAGTGGTCAGTCTGCGTACTGCCACCACAGAAGGAGGTGGAGTATATTTTCCGGCCAAACCAGTCTTCTCTATCATCTGGGTGTGAAGCCAGTGGCAGTCACACACTGCTCATACAGTTCGCCTATTCATCACACACCAGCACGTGAAGGTGCATGTTCTGGTGTTAAAACACGATTCAAAAAGTCTGTTCTTCACTTCCAGGTTTGTTTCTGTTCTGCGACATTGAATCTGGTCTGTGATTTGTGGTTCCGTGGCTGCTAGCTCCTACTTCAGTTCAGATAATTGGTGTTGTGTGGATAAACTGCTGGTTCAAGATTTCTTTTTTTCTGAACTACTTATTTGGGTATTTTATTGTTCACTGCTTGCTGAGTCTACTGGTCAAGTAGTCAATTTCTTTATTCTGCGTCGACAATTGGTTTCTTGGTTGATAAAATCATTTGACTCTGTTCATCTGTGTTTGTGGGGTCACAAACTGACGTACATGCTTCTAGTTATACTTGCTGTTGATAAGTTCATATGCTACTAAAATATTTGGAGAAAATGACTGAAATTGTGACTCCTACATCTTCGGATAAAGGAATTTTGGTTTCAGCAGAAGAGTTTGCAAAATTCTCGCAATATCAAAACTTACAAAAGAAATCTGTTCCGGTTACTACCCTTGTTGAGTCAGGAAAAGCATGTCTTATATCCTCTTCGAATAAATGGGTGATCGATTCAGGTGCCACAGATCACATGACAGGTAATCCTAATATATACTCTAGCTTTCGATCACATGGAGCACTCTCTCCTGTGACGGTTGCTGATGGTTCGCTCTGTAAGATTATAGGATCTGGGATTGTAAAACCAACATCCTCTATTACCTTGTCATCTGTATTAGGTCTACCAAAGTTAGCCTTTAATTTGATGTCTGTTAGCAAGCTTACTAGGGACCTAAACTGTTATATCTCGTTCTTTCCTGATCATTGTTTGTTTCGTGATCTGAAGACAAATAAAGTTATTGGAAAAGGACATGTATCTGATAATCTCTACATTCTTGATGAATATTGGGAGCCTCGATTTGCTGCCTTCTCTAGTGTCATGTCTCCATTCGAGGCACATTGTAAATTGGGACATCCTTCTTTGCCTACGTTGAAGAAACTTTGTCCTCAATTTCAGAATATTTCTTCAGTGGATTGTGAGTCATGTCTATTTGCCAAACACCATCGTAGCTCAACAAATCCAAGGGTTAATAAGCGGGTGGAGTCGATGTTTGAGTTAGTTCATTCTGATGTTTGGGGACCATGTCCTGTTGTTTCTAAAACTGGATATAAGTATTTTGTCACATTTGTGGATGATTTCTCTCGAATGACTTGGATTTATTTTATGAAGAGTCGTTCTGAAGTGTTTACTCACTTTTGTGCCTTTTGTGCGGAGGTCAAAACTCAATTCAATACTTCGTTGCGTATTCTGAGGAGTGATAATGCTAAAGAATATATGTCAGAATTGTTCCAATCCTACATGAGACAACACGGTATTCTCCATCAAACTTCATGTGTTGATACACCCTCTCAAAATGGAGTTGCCGAGAGAAAGAATAGGCATCTGCTTGAGACAGCTCGAGCACTTTTGTTCCAAATGAAGGTCCCTAAACAATTTTGGGCTGATGCAGTCTCCACAGCTTGTTTCTTGATTAATCGCATGCCATCGACTGTTCTTGTTGGTAATGTGCCTTACAGTGTTCTTTTTCCAAACAAGCCACTATTTCCAGTGGAGCCTAAGGTGTTTGGAAGCACATGTTATGTTCGAGATGTTCGGCCATCTGTTACCAAGTTGGACCCTAAAGCATTGAAGTGTGTTTTCTTGGGTTATTCTCGCCTTCAGAAGGGGTATCGATGCTATTCTACCGAGCTTGGTAAATATTTGGTGTCAAATGATGTGGTATTTTCAGAGACGACACCATTCTTCTATGCACCTCCCAGTTCGACAACTCAGGGGGAGGAAGATGAGTGGTTAGTCTATCAAGTTACTCGTGATGTGACAAAACAATTAGATGATGTCCTTCATTCTCTTAGTTCCCCTATTGAACACAATTTGACTACTGGGCCCACATCTTCTACTCCGGTAAGACCACCAATTGTTCAAGTTTATTCGAGAAGACGAGAGATCGATGATACATGTTCTGCACCAGCTCCTTTGTTATCAAATCTTTCTTCACCCGATCCTTCAGATGATCTTGATCTCCCTATTGCTCTTCGCAAAGGTAAAAGGACTTGTCAATCGACGTATTCCATTGCTAATTTTGTTTCTTATGACCGCTTATCCTCTACGTCAAGGTCCTTGGTTGCTTCTTTAGAATCTATCTCTGTACCCAAAACAATGAAGGAAGCTTTGACTCATCCTGGATGGTATGATGCGATGCTTGAGGAAATACATGCCTTAGAGGAAAATCACACATGGGATTTGGTGGATTTACCTAGTGGGAAGAAACCAGTGGGATGTAAGTGGGTGTTCACAGTTAAAGTAAATCCAGATGGTTCTGTGGCAAGACTTAAGGCCAGGCTTGTGGCTAAAGGGTATGCTCAGACCTATGGGGTGGATTATTCAGACACTTTCTCTCCAGTTGCCAAACTTACTTCCGTCCGCTTGTTCATATCTCTAGCTGCTTCTGAGAATTGGCCTTTACATCAGTTGGATATCAAAAATGCATTCCTTCATGGTGATCTTCAAGAGGAAGTATATATGGAGCAACCACCTGGTTTTGTTGCTCAGGGGGAGTATGAGAGAGTGTGTTATTTGAAAAAGTCTTTGTATGGCTTGAAACAGAGTCCGCGAGCTTGGTTTGGGAAGTTCAGCGAGGTAGTCCTGGAGTTTGGGATGAAGATGAGCAAATGTGATCACTCAGTCTTTTACCGACAATCAGCAGTTGGCACTATCTTACTGGTTGTGTATGTCGA